GTGTACAGAAAATATACATGTTAGAAATAACTGGAACAAGGATTCTGTTCTCCTATCAGGTGCAAAGTTGCGTGCAAAGTTCTAATATTTGGGCATCAGTCGCATCCTTCAACAAATAGTTTTTAGTTTTTCCAGAGTCTGAGCATGTCAAATTCCACTGATACCCGATTTGAGATGACTGTAATAATGTTACTGCTAGTTAGAAATAAAACCGTATAATACCGGGGGGAAAAACATCTTTAGATTCACAAAATTTGTTTAGAACTAGAATCAGAGAACATTAAAACACAAGTATATGTAGCAAAATGTAAGTGACTGGATTGAGGACTAAACGCAATTGATGTTAGGCCATGAGATTTTCTTAAATTGGAATAAAGATTCACAAAAATATCATGAACTTCGGGAGGTTTTGCACGAAACCATCATAAACTTTTTTATCAGAAAAAAAAGTAATATGAACTTTCAAATTGCAGAAGGTATCATTAGCCTTAGGAAATTATTACTACATGTTAACGTTTTGGATAAAGATCTAAATGACCCTTATTAGTATCTATTAGCCCTAACCCAATTTCTCTCCGTATTAATTAAAATGTACAAAAGAATAAAATAGTCCACATGTCATGTGCTACTCTTCTTTTGTCAAGTATGATAGTAAAAAAAGAGTTCATGATAGTTCTCTAATAAAAGAGTTTATTGTAATTTTGTGCAAAACCCCCCTAGTTCACAGTAGTTTTGTGAAATTTACCAGAAAAACCTCAATAAGGTTGCAACAAAGATAGAGAAAGTTACCATGCAAGACACTGACTTTGATGACTTATTGCAGCTCCAGCTTGAAGTGGGAACGCAGCTCAGGTAATGGCACCACGAGCAGGGTTTGTGTCCATCAAAGCCTTGGAAGAGCAATACCAGACCAACAATAAACCTACAAAAATTTCAAGCCAATATTAGATTTATCAATCAACATGCACAAATCTCTGTAACACTAATAGACCAAGGACGGTAACAAAGAAAATACTCATGCACACTCTTTTGTTGTTATAAATAGGCTTTTGTTATTTTAAACCCTCAAATCTTTGTTACTTCTATATTAGATCCTTAAATCTTCATATTTCTAAATTATACCCCTAATCCTTTAAGTTGTTTTAAATAACACCCCATATAATTTTTAATTTACACCCCAAATCATGTTAAGTTGCTCGTATTTTTAATTTAAACCCCTAAATCTACAAAGTTGTTTAAAACAAGACCCTTTATTTCAAAAAAGTATATAATTTGGAGTCTAATTTAGATATATGATACTTTGATGGTCTATATAGAACTAACAAAGATCTGGGGTCTAATGTGACGAAAGTCCTTCTAAGTTACAAGAATTCAGGAGGCTTAGGTGAAGTGGTTGAATTATTATATTCTTATGAATGTAACAAGATGTCTACCTTCTCCTCAAAAGTAATGATAAAAAACCTTATCAAAAAAATAAAATAAAATAAAATATATGAAAGGTTAAAAATAACTAAGATGATTTTCTAGGACCACTGTCCATTTGTGTTGTCTTAATGCACTATAACCTCCACATACCCTCGTAATTTTTGTGATATCATGCTTATTGATGTTAGTTCTTTTAAACATACTTACATAAACAGACATGATGTTCTCATGAATAACTATAAACGTAGGTTCTTCTCATATGCTCAAGAATTGTATGAAAGAGTTAACAAAAGTTATCAAAAGTTATCAAGCACCACCAAATGGCATAGGTAAATCCACACCATAAAGAGCTACCATTCCAACGTCTAATGTAATAAGATTTGGAGATCACAATCTTTCAGACTTACCCAATAATTAGCAACGCAATAGAGATGCCCCATAATATATACTGATATGTCTTATACTTTGGTTTTTTTGGTGCGCTAGCATGATATCCAATTGGAACATTCTTCTGGCTAACATATCCAAACTGTGGACGGATTAGAAGCACAAATCCAAGCAAAAACCCAGTCATAAATCCTCCGATATGAGCAAAGTTGTCCACATGAGGGAGGAACCCAACCGCTAAGTTGATTCCAATGATTACCACCAGGGTCAATAATGCTGCAAACTGACATAAAAGAAAAATATTAGATATTTGATCATACAAACAAGGGTTAGCTGTAGATAGATCTCCTGTACTATCGCCCAATTGCAAATAGACCTACGTAGTCTTATCGTTGCAGATAGACCCCCTGAGTTAACCCCTGAGTTAAATTTTTGACTCCTTTACCCTCAAAAGGTCTCCTTTACCCTCAAGAAGTTTATTTGTCAAAAGCAATTTCCCTTTCTTTTAGGGTAAAAGTGAAAAAAATTTATCAATCAGGGGTCTATCTGTGGATAGATCTCCTGTACCCAATTGCAAGTAGACCTATGTAGTTTTATCGTTGCAGATAACCCTGAGTTAAATTTCTGACTCCTTTACCCTCAAGAGGTTTATTTGTCAAAAGCAACTTCCCTTTCTTTTATGCTGTGTTTGGGTGGAGGGTAGAGAAGGGAAGGGGAAGAGAAATCTAAATTTAATCTTGTTTGGGAGTTTTATTGAGAGAGTAGAGGAGGGGAAAGTGGGGAAAGTTTAGACTAAAATCTTACACCCCAATTTAAGGAGTAAAGGAGGGGAAGGAAAAATTAACAAATTTCCTTCCTTTCTTTGCCCTTCCATCCCTTCTCTTAGTGAGCTCCCAAACAGAGCATTAGGGTAAAAGCAAGAAAATTTTATCAATCTGGAGGTCTATCTACAAGAATAGAACCATAGGAGTTCCATCAACAATTGGGCGATAGTACAGAGATCCATCCACAATTAGACCTATAAACAACAACGACAATAACAACAACAACAATAACAACATCAACAATAACATAACAAAGCCTTTTATCTTAAATATTTTTTGTGTCCAGCTACATGAATTTTATTCTTCCATTTAGTTAAGGTTATCTCCTCCATCAAGCTATAACCATCATCATATTTATCTTAATTTCTTTCAATCAAATTTCTTGGGAAATGATAATTGGACGACATGAACTGTACTACAATTGTACTGCAAGACACAATATATGGGGTATATAGTCTGTAGAAACTCATGACTTTTCCTCGCAATTCACAAGGAAAGACCCCCATATTTTTTAGTCTTCAGTACCAGAGTAATGTAACTATTGTAGTCTAGTTATCATGAATCCTCCTTAAATGGTGCTGTAGTGGTCTCCATCGTACATGATCAAACCATCTCAATTGGTTCTGTCTTATTTTATTGTCAACAGAAGCAACCTCTTTATCTCTTATGGTAGAGGTCATTCGTATTTTAGTGTTTATCCATATAATTAATAAAAATCCAACGAGCCTAACATCTAATGAACACCAAAATTCCTGAAATACCTTATTTGCATAAATAGTCCAGTTTGTAATAAGTTCTGAGAGCATAGCACCAAGCAACCCGAAAAGAGCACCAGAAGCTCCAACTGAGATAGTGGATTCGATGAACAAAGCAGACATCAAGCTCCCACCGATCCCTGAGATGATGTATAAGGGACCAATCCTCACTGTAAAATGAGCAAGATTAAGTACTGCAACAACTTTTCTTAAATTTTCTTACAAGAACTCTTATCAAACTTAAAATCAAACACGAAAAATAGAGCAGCTTCAGATACTGCAACAAAATTTCTTAAATTTTCTTAAAAGAACTCTTATTAAACTGAAAATCAAGCACGGAAAATAAAGCAGCTTCAGATGCTGCCTAAATTTAAAAGTTAACCACCCAACAAATGATCAGATATTCATATGTTAGTAGTGAGTTCAAAATGTTTCAACATAATTCCACCTCTCATTAGATTCCTCCGATCACTAACAAGTTCATCTTAATGGGTTTCAAGGCTTTTTTGATTTTCTCTTTTGAATAAAAAATGAACATATTTTGCACACTGTTTTATTGATGAGGATATAATAAAACATAATAGACCATCATTTTAGTTGCTATGAGATGGCATGAAGAAAATATCAAGTAAATATTAGTAAACAAAGCCTTCAGCTGCAATTATTTAAAGCAAATTTGTAAGTTACAAAAACAGAGTCATTCTTGTTCAAAGTAATCTCGAATTAGATATGCTGAATTCAAGAAACGAAGAAATAAATTAAATAAATTTGCTACATACAAAAGCCGAATTCTTGTTCAAGTCGAATTCCAATAAAAACGAGGCTCAGCATATTGGAAACTAGATGGATAAACCCTGCATGAAGCCACATGCACGTGATAAGGCGCCATGCTTCGTGATCATAGGTCACTTTACTTACTTCTAGAGCCCCCATCTTCAATAACCTGAAATATCAAAACACAAAGGAAAGTATGGATGAGTACAAACTATCATTTCAGGAACCAATGTCTCATTTTTCTCCAAAAAAAAGAGGAAAAAGGAAAATGAACCAATGTGTCATGCTTCTCAGGAAAAACGAAATATTTGTCAACGAATAATGATTGATTAGACCATATGATTTTATTTATTTATTTATTTATTTATTTATTTTGAAAATTAGAATATACATAATGTTCAATGCATAAGAAGAAATTTGTGACAACTAACATTTTGCTAATATATGACAGGAACTGAAACACATCATCCCACTACCAACATAAACCCTGTTATGGTATAGATCTAAATGGCCCTGATGGAAGTAATTTCCCAGTGCCAGAATAGCGCGTGAACAGCTCTATCAGCAATAGAATGCAATAATCTGGAACAATATATGGGCACATATATGAAGTTGGTTGCTACACCAAGAGAGTATGGATATGTATCTTCATACTTTGAAGACTACACTTTTAGGGTTCATTCAACATATCACTCTAGCATAATTATTACTCTGACACAATGAGGAAGTTTTAATGCCTTGAAACCTATATTTGTCTCATTGTTACATCTCAAACAAAGAATGCAAGAACACTTATTATCCTTCATTCTTTTCAAATGTCAACTGAAAGAAAACCCTTCTTTCTCCATCACCATCATTATTGCGGTCTACACCATTCTTTGTTCATTATACACAATATAGTTATGAATTTGAACCATACCAGCTTGCTAAGAGCAATATGAATAATTATCATGTAATAGTTATGCATATATCGCCTTCAAAACTATGCTTAATAATACAGAGATGAATCCAAATTTTTTTTTTGTTTTTTTTCTCCTTTTTTTTTGGGGTGGTGGTAGTGGGGTGGGGGTGGGGGTGGGGGGAGCAGTGTCATAGATGAGCAAATAAAGACAAACTAGTTATCAACTAAATCATATTGCTTTTTGTTGATTTCCGAAAGATCCTCCATAAATTTAACGATACAAAAGCTACAATATAACTCAATTCAGCTACCCCACCAACTTAAGAAAATTCAATTTAAAAGGCCTCTTGAATAAACTTACATCATTAATGCTGCTATTAGGTTTACCACTTCTTATAAGTTGTTTCAACTTAATCCCTCCAAATGACAGTAGAATGACAAGATATAAAATTGGGGTATCTAATGGCAAATTCAATAATTTGAAGTGCTGATTCAAAATACTAAAGAGCTAAGGGACTAATATAAAAAAGACTATACAAATATAATATTTGTAAGGTTGTCTTTGTGAGAACAAAACATGTTAACAATATCATACCCAAACCAAATAACAAGGAGTGGGTCCCATATTTTTAGATGATGTTGCTTTTGGGTTCAACATTCTTTAAGACAGATAAAGTAGCCAATTAGTCACGAACTGAATTTTTTTGCTGTTAATTTTAATTAGTATACCCTTAAATTCATGGGTACATATAGCAAACTGAAAACTCTTGGGGAAACTATGGCCCCTCCCTCTCCTCCCTTAAAATTGTCCCTGTATTAGTAATATCTAAACATAAGTGGACATCAATTAGTTTCAATATAACAGGTATAGAAAATGGTTACTACTTTGAACAAATTCTCTCTTACTCACATCTACAACCATCAACTCTCCTCTAGTTTATTTGTTTCCTCAAAAGCATTTGGACAAAATGACCAACTACCAGTTAAAGTATTGTTGAACTCTGAACTTCCTCATTAAATATCAATTTACTTATTTCCCCCTTAAACTATGTTTATGGGTTCAATGTTGTCATTTTGTGAGTCCACAATCAAATATTTAACAGATCAATTTTGCAGCATTGTTTTTGGGATTTCTTCATAAGACACCCCCACCCCGCGTCCCCAGAAAACTTCTCAACCACTTTCTCCAACACCTTTTTACCCTTTTATGCCTTTGTTGGGATTGGAAAATCATTTTTTTATAGCAAAAAATACAAGAAATATAAAAAAATGAAAGAAAAAAGCATTGTCACATGGTCGATCTGTTTAAAAATTGATGTGGGCTAAGAAAATGACCACATTGGTGCCATATAAGTAGTTTAAGGGAAAGTAGTTAGATACTTAAGGAAGAAGGTTGAGAGTTCACTAACACTTGAAGGGGCATTTAGTCATTTTGTCCAAAACACATATATGTACCAGTATCATCTAAACACTCTAAATGGTGTATTAGATGCAATGCACCATCATACGCAAATGAAGCCAATCGATGAAATTGTCAAAGAGCTTATTTCATGGAGCTTACAACACAAAAGCACCAAAGATAGCTTACTACTAGCAATGACTCTTTCAACTTCATTTCAGCCAATCCAACATCTATATCACCAACCATCATAGAATAAGCTAAACGTTCATAAGATTGACAACAAACATTTCCTCATCCTTTTTGAATGATGAACAATAACATGTCCTCGACCATCATCTATAACTACTGTGGGATTTTTATCTCAGTGTATGATTCTTACTTGTAGCCTCCGCCTACGTGACTTTTGCTAGACTTAAGAGGCATTCTGTTTTTATAGCTGCAGATTTTCCATAAACTCTTACTAACGAGCATGAGGGACTTATACTCACAATTATTCTCTAAAATATATGCCTGAAACCATTTATTCATTCTATTCAAACCACCGTCAAATTTAAGAACCATTATTCATTTGGGTTGTTAACCTGCATACCTCGCAAGTCAAACATATTTACCAGTTTACTTCTCAATTTTACCATATGGAGTGAAAATACCCTCAAACTTAATCTCATTAGCTTACGAAGGATCAAAGGGGAAATTTCAGCTAAACAACTAAAAGAAATATTACGAATATTCTTATGTGGTGGAACTGGGAGGTAACTTATCAAATATCTATAGGTTAAAAAAAAACACGATGTGTCTTAGATTTCTAGGGAGAACACTTTCCAATCAAATGAACAGACCTATACCACATTTATCCAATCTAACCACGTTAAATCTGGGTTATTTTAACTCAACGCTGTCTAATTACGAATTAAATTAGTAACAACTTAGATTCGGGGTGGATTAGCAAATATCCATATTAAGGGTAAATTTGTAAATATTTTTGTATATAGGCAAAAAAACACAATTCATTGTGGGATTCTACCAAAAACAATTTATGTCATTATTCAACCAAAATCCCATCTTTTTCATCAACAAGGACTTAAAAATCCAATTTTAATCCATAATTCACCCAAAAAATCACAACAAATCACCAAAAACTCAAAAACTCACGTAGCAGCTGAAGGCCCAAACAGAGGATTCTCCTTAAGCGGCTGGAACGAGAATCGCCCTAAAAACCCAGCAACGCACGAGCTCGAATTCTTAGGGCAATTGTTCACATACATCGAGATCGCAAACAACAATACATTGACGGCGATGAACGTCGGCATCAGAACCGGGGGCCACCGCCGGAACGGGCGGAACTCCTCATCCTTGCTACATTTTCCC